TGAACCAACATGACAACATGAATGGTATATCTCAACAAAATAAATAATGTACAGAAACAGTTATTTACTTTGTGGTACTGTTCAGAAATTTCAGTTAGGAAAAATTGTTTTTTCAACGGTGGTGTAAAAATACTGTACATACTTTTAACACTATCTTCAGTTCTAAAAGTTTTACTTTTCGCACTAGTGTTCATTATTGATAAGCAAAATAAAATTCTAAATTAATCCCGTATATAATTCTGCATAAAAACTTAGAGCATAACCAATATTGGTAAAGTAGAAATATGTATTGACAAAATAGAAACAAATGTCTTAAGTTTGTATATTTTAAATTTTCTACCACCATTTGTTAACTTAACAACATTCTATATAATATAGAGTTGTTCTGGTCATTGCTTTCTTAATAAATCTATTACTTTTTTTGGTTTAAATGTTACGTTATTACTTTTTCCGGCATAAGAATGCATAAGAAAATTCCCTCATTTGCAGTCAATTTCTAGATTTCAAGCATTAGCAGTTTAAAAACAATAGTCTGGAATGAACCTACTGACAGATTTTTGGGACGTTTAAAAAAAGGATGTCTTAAATTGATAGTTATTATCTTTTACAGAAATCTGTTAAGTTTTAGGGCACCTATTTTTTTTGTCAATAACAACACTGTCCATATATGCTTGAAAATGGTTTTATAGTTGAAACCGGTCGCTGTTATTAAAGAATTTTATGTGGGATTGATTTAGAGTTTTATTTTTCTCATTAAAGTTGACTACTTTTAAGAGAATAGTTGGATCTCTTCTTTGCTTTCATTATTGATGATAATAATTACTAATAAGCAACATAATTTTCTATATTATTTATAGCTTTTAACCAATCCGTGATATCTGTTTCATATACACAGTGTTTTATTAACCTCGTATTCATATAAACCGACAAGACCAAATCTGGATAATACTAGGTAGGTAATATTTTATTATTCATATCGCCTCCAAATTATGTACTATCGGCGATTCAAGCTAAGTGATACGCCCTCTGGAGGATATTTGTAAAAGGTGTCTACAAGTAGGACTTTTTCCTACATACAGTGTGTCCGAAATTGGTGATGCGTGTATTGCAATCTCCGAAACTGTTAGAGATAGAAGAACAGTTAAATGGAGAAAGTTTTAGATAATTCTGTTCATAATTCAATGCCGTTTAGTTTGACATTTTTTCTCTTTTGGTTTTTGAGATATTTTGAAAAGACAAAAATGACGCATTTCCGAAAATACCCTGTATTTTCTTTATTTATGAAAATCTGTAAAAACTTTTTTGGAGCGACTTTTTACGTTTACGTTTCGGTTTCTTGGAACCATCATTAACTTTGTTTTTTCACTATCATAATGATAATCATAACTAAATACAGTTAAAAAACGCAAAAGTTCGTCGAAAACCAAAACAATATAAATACAAAAATAAATAAATTGCGAATGCCATGCCTCCAGAATCTGTCCGGCCGTCTTATAACAACAAGCAACTACTTCCAGGGCTATATGCTCAACAGGACGTTGGATTACAGTCTTACAAAACGTGTTCGCGACTGACTTTATCGATACAACAAACCCTTTGATTTGGAATTCAAGAGATTCTAGTGTACTTGTATTTTACTTCTCAAATAGGGCGAAACCGGTCGTGGAATGTTAGCTCCGTAAAACAAATGTTCGCTATACTTACGCGGGTTTCGGATGAACAAAATTATGCAAATTAGTCATTGACAACCAGTTCCGATAAGCCTCTTCCCAAGAAATTAGGTAAAATTGCCCTAATGGTCAGATTTAAATTAAAATAACATTAGGGTAGGTACTAAATTTGTTACAAATATTGCAGTTGAATTGATTCTTTGCAAGTGTTGACATTGTATGTATATTGTAAATTTAGTGGAAATTTTAAAAATGCCTAGACGTGTGTTAGATGTAGATAGTCTAATTTGTAGTTTACATAAGTATTTTACGGATGAAAAAGAAAATGGCGGTCCTTTAAAATCGGTAATGTCTGTACAACAACGCGTATGCGATGCTCTAGGAATTAGTGAAACCAAATTAAGAGGAGTATTACAAGATCACAATAGTGAACTGCCGAAAGAAGATCACCGCAAAACTCGCCCATCATTGAAAACGAAAGATATTCCAGATGGAAAGAAATTTGAAATTCGTAATACCATTTATCAAATGAGGGCCAACAAGGAACATGTGACCTTAAATACAATTCTCTCTGAATTAATAGATAGAAAATTTGACGACATTGGCAGAACAAGTCTATGGCAAGTGATACATAACTTGGATTTCAAATTTCAAAAGGAGGATAACAGAAAGACCCTTTGTGAAAGAAGTTCTGTCATGCACAAGAGAATTAACTTTCTAAGAAAATATTCTAAATTTAAAGAAAAGGGCGAATTTTATATATTTAGACGAAACATGGATATTTTCTAGGGGTGCAACCAAGAGAATATGGCAAGATGATAAGGTAAAGTCCATAAAACATACCGATGGAGATGGGAAGCGACACATAATTTTACATGCAAGAGGGAAATCGGGTTTTATAGAAGGTACTGATTTAATATTTTCATCTAAATCAAAATCCAGTGACTATCACGATAATATGAACACAGAAATGTTTGTAAAATGGTTGCATGAAAAACTTCTCCCAGGTTTAAGTGAGCCCAGCGTAATTATTTTAGACAATGCACCTTCCCATTCTAAAATATTAAACAAAAGTCCAACGAATTCTTGGACTGTTGATAAAATTAAAGAATGGTTGACAAAGGAACATATACCATTTCCTCAATATATATTTAAATCAGAATTATTACCCTTGGCAAATATACACGCAAAACCAAAAACCTTTGTTGTGGATCAGATTATTGAAAGTTACGGTCATCAAGTTTTACGTCTGCCACCGTATCATTGCCAGTTTAATCCCATCGAATATATATGGGGAATAGCAAAACAATATTATGACAACCATATTGGGCCTAATGGTTATAGTGACGACGCAGTTCGGGAAACTTGGCGAAAAGCACTTTCAATTGCAACTCCAGAAGTGTGGCGGAACTGTATATCCAAGTGCGAGAAACTAATAGAAGATTGGTGGACTCGTGAAAATAAAATAAACGAAATAAGTCCAATCATAACAACAATTAATGGTGATGACAGTGATGATGATGACGATTATGATATTTTGGATGATAATGACTGATTTTCATTTTTGTTGGCAAGTTCAATTTTTTTATTTTTCATTTTAAATTCTCCACATGGAACAAATTTTTGTTAAAAAATATTTTTTTGAGCTAAATAACCCTCTTATTATACATAGATCATATTTTCTGTGTGAAGTGTAATATAAAATTATTATTAGGTTTATAATAGCCACATTAAACTCCATTAATGAAGAAGTTTAATTCTGCTCTCAATTAAACAAAAGATTCTCCATTATTATTTAATTAAAAAGTTGTACATTATTTTTCATTTCATTTAACCGGTTGATATTTCCCCAAAGAACAGGTCAAACTTTCGGGTACTTACCTGGAAATATTTTTAATCCGAAACCCGCGTAAGTATAGCAAACAGACTGTAGTTTCCGTTAGTGTACTTTGGAGTCTAGCAGATCCATATCCATTTTTTTACTACGCTATAATTTTTAGCTAATTTATAAATCCTAATTTTATTTTATTGTTCCATAGCTTCATTAAAAAATATATGATTTTGTCCGGGCGTAAGTATAAGCTAGCAGAGCCACAACTGATTTTTTACTACTATAATAAGCTAATTTATTGCTAATGCATTAATAATTTATTGCTAATTTTCGCTAATTTATTGCTAGTTTATTGTTAGTTTATTGCTAATTTATTGCTAGTGTTTCTCTAAATTATCGCTAATTTATTGCTAATTTATTACTAATTTATTAATAATTTATTGCTAATTTATTGCTAGTTTATTGCTAATTTATTGCTAATTTATTGCTAATTTATTGCTAATTTATTGCTAATTTATTGCTAATTTATTGCTAATTTATTGCTAATTTATTGCTAATTTATCGCTAATTTATCGCTAATTTATTGCTAATTTATTAAAAAATCTGTGAATTTCTTATAAGTGGAAGTAGAAGCAGAGCCACTACCGAATTTTAGATGTTTTACCATGCCATAATGCTGTAACATTTAACTAATTTATTGGTAATATATTACCCTTATTTTATTTTTATTGCTCCTTCCCTTATTAAATAACTATTAGTGACTTTGCTAGAGCAAAAATATAAGCTAGCACAACAAACTATTTTATGTTTTACTGTACCATAATTTTTAGCTAATTTAGTATCCACCGCTGTTTTATTTAATTTAAATTGGCTGAAAATTATGACATTTAAAAACATAAAATTTGGTTGCGGCTCTGCTAGCTTCCAATTACGCTAGCAAAACCAACAGTTTTTCCAATGAAGCGAAGAAGCAATAAAATTAAAATAGCAATAAATTAGCAATAAAGTAGCATAATAAAAAAATGTGGTTCTGCTTGCTTATACTACATTTTCAATTGAGAATTGTATGGGATGTTTCGCGAGGAAAAGTAAATATTTTATGGACCTGTTCTGGAAGCCGAAATAAGCAAAAAAGTCTTATATATAAACATGTATCCTGAAATACGTTCTTTCCAAGTTAAACGATAAAATAGAAATTATAAAGATCAGTTTTTCTTAATTTTTTTTTAAAAATGCAGTTTTGCAAAGCTATACTATATCAATTTAAAAAATTTTAAGAAAAACTGTTTTTTTATAATTTCTTTCTCACCCTGTAATTCGGATTGGACGAATTTTCGTACAAATGTAAACATAAGATTTTTTGCTTATTTTGACTTAAAAATATTTCCTTTTCCTCGTGAAATAAAATACGATAAACCATTTTAAATGGGAAAAAATAAAACGTTTTAACCGAAAAAATAAATAGTTACCACATAAAACGAAAAAAAAATCAAACATACCAAAAAATTATCTTCCGCGACCTCAACTCAGCTACTCACTCACTATTACTATCAACAGTATCAACCACCGTCAACCGCACCAGCTACTTCTTCGGCAACTCATCTCGGTTTTTCTTTTATATTCCTCCACCACTTCGGATGGGTCTTAAGACACACGCGAACTCCAAGGCGGTCGCCGCGGTTGCCGATGGCAAGTTCACGTTCATGGATTCGGAGATGTGTGTGTGTGTCCTCTGCTGCTGCTTCTTCTTCTTCACTGTACTTCACATCTTCGAGGGTCAAGTTAACGTCAACGCGAAGGTCATTGGAATGTGTATATGCATGCACTTTGAAGTGTGTGTTCTTTAAAAAAAAATAATAAATAAATACTGGTAAAGAATCTCAGCCAAATGGTTCGTAGTTTGGAAATTTTATGGTCTTGAATTTCAGAGGCGGCTCTAATTTTTTAAATAATGATGGGCGAAATTACTTAGAAACTTCAATGTCTTAGAACTGGTATCCAATAGTTGGCATAGACCAAGTTATTGGTAACACGAGACATATATAGTTACAAGGCAGAAAAATTTAGTTTTTAGGGCGACTACAAGAAGTTTGGCAGATGTCAGATTGTTCTTGAAGATTAAAAAAAAATATGGGATTTGTGATATATATCCCACCTTGAAAAAAGTGACTCCTTACTAATATTAACAATTTACAGGAGAGTACTTTTAATATTATTTTGTCTTACAAAGTTTACTATTAAAATACAACTCATACCAATTCGTTTATTAATATTGGAACTATTTATTGTAGTTTCAAAATAAACAAAAAAGAAATGAACAAAAACGCAATGACTGGATGACAGAAGTTTAATAAAAGGGACATGAGGTACAAAAATTATAAAAAAAAATTGGACGATCAACAAATTAAACAAGAATTTTTACTTATAGAATATAATTAAACAATTTAATAAAAAATACAAAAATCAATTATTACTACAAAGAACATATAGAAAAAATAGTAGTTCCGTAGAACACATATGGAAAACAATAAAAAAATTACATTAAATGTAGAGAAAATCAAAAGTTTTAAAAAAATTAATTACAGAAACAGCATTATAACTGATGAGTTAGAAAGAGCAAATACATTTAATAATTATTATTTAGTTGTAGGGAAAAGATATGCTTCTAAAATAACTAAACCTCCAACTGCTCCGCCTTCTAGAAAATACGTAGAAAAGAGCATTTTTCTGGCTCCAACTGGCAAAAAAGAAATTATAAGAATCATCAACTCCCTAAAAATAACAAAGCTCCTGGTGTAGATGATATAACAGCGGAAATTCTAAAATAAGTTTCTGTTGAAATATGTGAATACCTTACGTTCCTTTTAAATCTAATGTTCCAAAATGGTATTTGTCCAAAAGAATTCAAATCTGCAAAAATAACACCAATATTTAAAAATGAAAACAGACTGGATGTAGCTAATTATCGGCCAATATTCTTAATTTCTAATGTTGCAAAAGTTTTTGAAAGGGCATTAAAAGAAAGATTAACAAATTTTTTAAATAAATTTAATGTATGAAGTGCAGTGGCGGCTCGTAATAATACGAGATGGTAGTGCCAGATTTTTAACAAATGTGAAAACCCCGCCGAAGGCGCCCTGTCGGAGGCCCCCCACCAGAAGCTGAAAATTTTTTGGGGTGCCACGCCCAAATTTTTAACCAAAAGTCGTTACTAGCTTTGGGCAAAAATTTATCACAGTATTTTCAAAATAGATATCAAATTTTAATTAAAAAAATTAATGAAGGACGGATACTTTTATATCTATTATATGACTACTATTTATGAGGTTTCTAACACAAGTTTTGCCACGAAACAGGCTGTCAGGGTTAGTCTTATCTTAAACTTTGCCAATAAATTACTCAAAACTTATCAAAGAACTTTGTAAAATTAATTAAAAACTATAAATTAACTTACCCCCAGTAATTAATGCTGAAAGTCCTTGCGGTTTGTTATTACCATAAAGATTCTTTAGGTTCATGTACTAAAAAAATCACAAAAATAAAACTATACCTATTTACAGTATTTACACATGCGCACAAAGTTGCTTGATATACTAGTTTTATAGTTTCCGATAAATGAAGTCCATTCTTCTTTCTTTTTTGATTGCAAAGTTTTCAATTACTTTATTATTAAAATTTTCAATTCCATTTACAAAATGTTTTTCTGCGGACAACATACCTAAATCAAAAGGAGAATTTTTTATTTCTTTCCTAACTTCTTCGTGATAAACACCTAACATGCACTGAAGAAGTTCATTTTGGGTTGTTTTTTAGGTACCTTTGAAAGCTTTTGAACTTTGAATATGAACCTTTAAGTCGTTGTCTAATTCGGCGCTAAAATTCACCAGCCCCTTAAATATGCCTCTATTTTCCAAATTATCTTTCTCATCGTGACCCCTTAAAGCTATCTCGAAAGCTCCATAAAACCTTATACAATTTATAATTTGATTTGAAACATCGATTCTTATCCACTTGTTGATTATGTTTAATTAGAGCATCACGATAATTTAACTGGGTTTTTATATTTAACTTACCAAGCATGAAAAAGCTAAAAACATTATTCATCTTAAATGAGTAAAACCAAATTTGGTAGATTTTTATTTAAAAAAAAAAATTAAAATTAAAAACACTACACATGACATGTTTCGAAATACAATTTCTTTTTCAAATTTGAAAAAGAACTTGTTATTAATAAATAGAATGTAAAACAGTAAAGGGGCAGAATCGACTTGTACACGTGCGCAGTTTAACGCCTCATTTCGGAACGTGACAAACTGGTTCCTAAATAACGTCATAGTACGTCTTATTTTGGTGTCGCAATGACCGCTAAATAAAAGATGTATAAAGTATATAGCTTCTATTCATTTAATAATGAATAACAAAAACTCGAAGTGCATTAATGACATAAATAGGTTTATTTTGTTCGCAACAATTGTGTTTACGTGTCAAATTGGTCCGAAAATGACGTCATTATTACGCTACTTTGCGTCAAAAAATCACCTCGACGTATTTGACCAAAATTCAACGTGATTATGATGTGAAACGACGTCCGGTGCTAGCTGGGATAATACGACAGTTTTTGCTAACAAAACATTTCCTAAAAGGTACGTTATAGACGATATCGCCAAAGAAAAAGGACGTGAAGTTTGGTTACCACCATGTTTTTGCGTTTTTAATCCTATCGAACTGATTTGGGTTCTAGAAAAGAGAATGCGGCCAAAAACTTTCGATGTTAAGGTAATATAACTACTAAAACAAGTTGGCAAATTCTATAAATAGTTATTTCGAGAGAAGTTGTTCTGAATGTCAGCTGTCAGAGTAAAGAGAGCATCCATCATTGAAACGTATTTAATTTAGAATACTGAAAAGTAAAGTAATGACGGAATATACAATTTCGTGGACTCAAATAAATGATTGGAAACGTCAACTTTTGAAAGAAAACGAAAATATTGTAAAACTGTAGGTATAATAATTAGTTTTTAACGGAGCTAAAAGCTTAACTGTTTATCAGTTAACACGAAACGATTGTTTATCTTTTAACAAATAGAGAAAAACCTGTTAAAAACATGGCCCGTTATGTAAGCGCGTGATCAAAGACGATAAGTCCGTCATGTCATCGACTATATAGTCGAAAAAATCGTTAGAAATAAAATAATCATTAAATCCGTAAAGTCAATATTGATAAAGATTTTTTGACCAAGGTGGATAGGTTTAGTTAAGGTCCGTTAAACCATGAAGACAAAAGTTAATAAAAAAGATTGAAGTATTTGTTCTCACTTGGGATTATTGAACTAGTCACTAAAAGTGATGTTTGAATTAAAAGCTTTTAGAAAATTATTTCGAAAGTATGCGCATATTTTAAAACGTGTTGGTGGGTAAAATATTTTTACACTATTCTTAAGTGTTTGTACTATGCTTGAGTTAAAGTGTATGTAACAATTCCATAATAAAAACATAAAATAGTACGATTACATAGTAATAAAACCTTTTTTTAATAATTATGCTATATGACCTCATGTATTTAAATATAGGTAACTACTGCTTTTCTTCAGAATTGAAGCACAATATGAAAAAACCCTGGCCTGTCACGAATTTAGTTGCAGTATTTAATAATTCTTTGGCAAAATAATCCGTTGTCAATGGATTGATCAAGTATCAAGATATCTTCATGGTAGACACATGACATATTAACGAAACATTGACAAGCGACGTTAACAAAAGACAGGAATGATCTTGAATGGAGTTAACCGAACTGAACCGAACTAAAATAATCACGAATAACGTCAAGGCTATGCTTTGGTTCTAGGGGTTATGATCCACACATAATTACGAAGAGTTCAAGACATAGTTGGTTTGGGAAACTATTTACCAACTTTAAATTTTGAAGGGCTCTGATTCTAGAACCAAATCGAAGAAGGAAGGGTAAATAAGAACGAAGGAAAAGAACAGGAAAGTGAAGGGAACATGAATTCGAATTACTACCTAGATTTATACAACAAAGTTAAAAAAAGACAAATTCATTCGCCTTTTACGACACAGCTGTCAGATGTGTGCTGGGAAGCTTATTTTCTAACCCGGTATTCACAATGATAATGATGATAAGCATGGCCCTGTTGAATAGAAAATATCTAGATTACGTAATTCCTTCTAGAATGTTTTTTGATTTCTGCAGTTTCTTGTTTCATTCCTAAAAATTCCTTCGATACAGTACTAGTCCAAGAGCCAGTGAATTTTTTTGTACTTGTTTTCCCGGTCCGTGTATATTTAAATAATCTATTCCCGGTGAACTGTATATTTAAAATGGAACGCCAATCTATTAACAAAAGTAAGTCAGATTGAATTCGCGCATTACGTCACATCGATACAAGTGAGATTGTTTACAAAGTGCCTTTGCAGGACTATTTTGCCCATTTCATGTATTTGTTTTTAAATCATGTTAAATTACTATTTTTGAAACTCAACAAGGAGAAAATCCAATTAACTCTTCCGTTGTGTATATATTTATAAGATAAATTAACTGAAGTTTTATTAGTTAAGTATTAATATAAATACCTAGGTATGTATTTGTTTTTAAATAATTTGATAATTTATGAAAAAGGGGAGTA